CGCCGCGCCGCGCCCCACCAGGCCTCCAGGTGAGCTTCCCCGCCCTGGGTCCCAGGTTCGGGTCCCCGGGGCCGCACGGACCGGAGCGGTGCAGAGTGCGGGAGGTCCGATTCTCTCCGTGTCTCGCCTCTGGGTTGGTGAGACTCTGGTGCGATCAGCAGGGAGACTGAGGAAGTGCGGGTTGGCAGCCTCTCCTCTGAGGCTGATTATGTATCCGCGACTGTAACCTCTTTGATCTGGATCTAAATTTCCTTAAGCAGTTTAACAGTTGCTCTTGCAGAGGAGTATGGCTTAGACTATCATTTACAATGAAAAGAAACTAAAGCGGTACTCCTCGGTCCGCAGATAGGCACAAGGTAGCTTTGTTCTCTGAATGGTTAGCTTGAGCACTTTCTCTGAAAGATACCGGTGTACGGAGCATGTGAGAAGGCGTGGAGAATGCTACTCCTGGTTCCACCTCTAGTCCAGTGTCCAGCCTCAGTTTCTACAGATGTAAACTGAAAGACTTTTGGTCCAGATGATCTACAAAACCCAACTCTAACACAGGGAAAAGCCCCGTGACTTGAGAAGCTGCAGTTTTGAGATGTGTCGGAAAGCTCATTAACCGAGTTTGGAACTCAGGACCTTGCGCTTGAGGCCAGCGGCACTGCTGAGCTAAATCCCCCACCCTTGAGCGATTTCTTTTTTGTAATGACACAGGTTCATTTTTATAAAGAAACTTCTCAGCTGCGGAGGGAGAGCACTGCCCACAGGAGCATCCTGAAGTCCCAGCACATCTATCATTCGGAGAATATTCTTAGCTTTCAAAGCCTCTCTTCAGCCTTGCTATGTGAGACTGTCCTATTCTCTACAAAAGGCAGACATATAAATGTCACTCACATGAAAGAACATTTTTTTTCTGACATAGTAGGTGCAATTTTATAAAATGGCACATTTATTTGAAGCAGTAACTTTTGCAAGGCCCCAGGTTTTTCAGAAGGCTGTGATTTAGCACCATGCAAGGCTCTGCCTTCGTGGATTCCACCCACACGGTAAGCACAGCCAGCCCAAAAGCAGAGTGCAGCACTCCCTATTATCAGGTTCGGGCTTGGGGCTGTAAAGCAGATGGCACCTGTGTTCAGAGAAATTGGGTCACAGCACTTTCCGCATTTGGCAGCATTTATGGTTTTGCTGAAGTTCAAATAGCAACTGGAGGCTCAGAAAACAACCTATACAAGGCCTGACCCCTACTTTAAGAATGATTTCTAGACATCTGCCTTGCTTAAACTTGCTGACTATTGTTTAGAAGGAACTAAAAAAGATTCTTATAAATCTCTAAGTAAATTGGAAATCCTAAGCATTGCACAATGTTGTGAACAACTTTAAGAAATGTGTCATAGAAATTTAAAGATGGAGCATCCCTGAGCAATCATTCTGTTACCTTATCTTTTAAAAGACTACCTCTACACTCCCCTACAATCAGTAGTACTATTGTTAAATGGACACAGCTCCTCCTTTCAAGGTCCAAGTAGCTGATCTGCAGCCAGTCTCAGAAACACATTCCAGGGTTTCATGATCCTTACCATCTGGTTCTCATCATAAGTAATTCAGGTACTTTCATCAACTGCTCTTTAGAAATCATTTCCTTGGACAATCTCAGGAAGACTGATAAACTGCTGTTAGCAAAACAAAAACAAAAACCCTGTGGCACAGCAGCCCTTCAAAGCTTGGAGACTTTCTAGGGTACCTTGGCTCTGGTTTCTCTTGGTTGTCTCCACAGAAGTCATTTATTAAGAGCCTATAGCTACATCTACCCATAGATCCTGTGTCAGACTCTAGAATACACTGAGCAATGAATTTTTCTAGGTGGGCTTTTGGGATTTTTTTTAAGCTTCAGTGAAGAAATAATAGAAATAAGATTTACAAATACAAACTGTTTGAGTCTGCTTTACACATCCAAAGGGAATACTTCACTGTGAAGACGTCCTGAGGAGTTCTACATGATATGTTAAACTTACTCAAAATTCTTTCAGTGGTTTTTTAAGGTCATTTTCCAAAATGGCTTGAACTAACAGTTTTATTTTAAGAAGAAATTGGTTCTGCAAAGAGTAAAACTAAATAAATAGCTAAAGGATATCTAATGCTTAAAACAATGTATGATAAAATACACTTGGTCTGTATCATAAACAATTTGTTCTTTCAGAGTCATTAAGGCATTTAGTAAAAAGATTGTGCATACAGTTTGAAGGTTGTCTTTCAGAAATACACCACTTCATATTGACCAAAACATTTTCTCCTGTAAATTGTGATGCATTTGAAATAAAATATATTCAGTGCCCCCCCAAAAAAAGAAAAAAAGAAATACATCACTTCAAAAAGAATGCATCAGGCCATTAAAAAATAAATAAGCTCCATGCTAATTAACCAGGCAGGACATTGACATCCTAATCTAAATTCTTGTCTGCAATATTCCAGAAGAGTGTATTTAGACATGTGGAGAAGGCATTACCACATTGTACTTTGACAGTCACATATTTCTGAAAAGTTATTTTGAGAGCTGTTTCCTTTATGTGTTGATTATATGGTCAGTCCTAATCTCAGAATAAAATAAAGTTCACTTTTCATCCTAAAGGAAAATGGGAAAATGTGCTCAAAGGGTAATTTTGAAAAGTAAGGAACTATAAGTCTGAATAAAAAGACACCCAGGATGTGACTTAATTATATCCCCTATTTCTTAAAGAGTTATTAAGAAAAACATAAGCTAGATATTATTTTGGGCCTCAACACTCAGTTAAAGAAACAAAGCTGCCTTAAGAGTGGTTCTGAGGCTCCCTGAAGATCTGCAGTGTGTGAATAGCCCTAGCACTGTGGACTCTACACAGGAGGGGATAACTCCTGGTTCACATTGATGACACATCTTTCATCTCTGCTGGAATTTTTTTATAAAATGAAAACTTTAAACCACATTAAATGGTGGCCAAAACTATTGAACGGGCTCTGGTAAATCGTCTTGTCCTATTTCCCAGCAGATGGGTGTCTCCTCGGCCTCCAGCCTCTCTGTACCTTCCTCTGCCCCGGCTTTTACATGGTACATTATAGCAGTCTGATTTTGTGCTGCAATCCTTCCCAGTTTCAGAGCTCTGAGAGGATTGGGCCCATCTACGTTATCACTTTATCCCTGTTGAGCAGCATACAGGCTGTTGGGTAAATCTCTGCTGGCATTTACCAAAGTAATGCCAAGTAATTAGTGATAACACCAAAAACTGTTTGGTGGTTACTGGCCGTTATGCACAGAGTACATGAGTATGGGTGCTGCCTGCACTGGACTATTTAACAGGATCAGAGTGCTATGTCAAAGTCCAGATCCTAGCTACCCAACATTTGCAGGAAAGTAGGAGACCGCTTTGTATGGTATAGTACATATAAATAGCTCAGATTATTATAATTACTTTAAGTAGAAGAAACAGTAGGAAACTTGCTGTTTCATTTCCCTTTACTTTAGTAACCCTATTATGTTGCTACACTGGGTAAGTTTTTAAATAAATTTATAATTGTAATACCTAGAATTCTAAAAATATACTTTTGATTCTAACTCATTTAAAGAATAGGTTGGGGAAAGAGCAGTTATGTTGGCAAATGAATTATTATAATTAATAATAAAAGTGTGCCAATTGCCACCTTTTCTAGATTGGGATCCTAAGTGTGTTGACCCGACTCTGCAGGCATACTTGGAAAACCAGAAGATTGCGTTTGGGGATAGTGGTACACAAAGTGTTTCCTGTATCTATTTCCCTAAGGGAAACAAGAGTCTAAATAGATCAGTTTTGTAACCAAAACTATCTCAGCTCTGTACGTAGATGGACAAGGCCCAGGGCTTCTTCGGGGATATGATAAACCACATGAATTCCATTTTCATAAAGAACTCAGAAGCCTTCAGGGAAGGGAGGGCTCTGTGGAAAGAGATTCAGACCTAATGTATAGTCAAAATGGGAAAAGTGGTATCACCCCACCAGCCTCTCTCCCACCGCTACGAGCGTGTTGCCATAGATTTGGTGGAAAGGGGTAAGAGACCGGGCAGGAGCCGGAGATCGTGCTTTTATCTAAGGAAAAAGAAAAGTCCTGATTTGTAGCACTGGGTGATTATCATGGTTCAAATACTCCCACCCGAGCAGATTTCAAGCTCCCAGCTGGCAAGGCATCACCAACCATGCCACGGAAAGGGGCTGAGACTAAAATCTCAGGGATGTAGCTGAGTGGTAGAGCACGCGCTTGGGGCCCGAGTACTTCTGAAAGTAGTAAGGAGATAGTCTGACGCAGAATGGAGTTCCCTGCAGCAAAGTTGCAGGAAGGGGTTAGATCCACTGCAAAACTGTTCTGTCAGGGCTGGGGATTTGGCTCAGTGGTGCTGCCGCCTCCCTTGCAAGCACAAGGTCCCGAGTTCAATCCCCGGTACCAAAAAAAGAAAGAAAGAAAAGAAAAATCATTCTATCCCTAAACTGCAGTGTCAGTTTTCACATGCACATAATTCCCAGCATCCTTAATATGGAGACAACACATGCCCACTCGCAGAAAATTTTGTTTGAACAAGTTAATTAAAATTATCAAAACACTTTCCAGATGTCTCTACAGCAGACCTAGAAAAGCAGAACTAATTGACATTAACCCTGAAGTGGATTGTTGCAGATCAAGTCAAACAAATGTTTATGCAGTGTACAAAATCACACACACACACACACACACACACACACACACACACACAAACACAAGCCCCACAAAATCAACAAGCTAGATTATTTTTTCTAACAGTGGTGATCCACTGGTTGTGGTCTGAGTGCCAGATCTTTGGTGTACCCCAGATTTATGAGTCGCTCAAGATTAAGAATGTGAGGGGAGCCCACTGTAAATTATCCCAGATCTGACTGGATCGGTGACTTTTTCATGTACATCAGGCTTCAGTCAAATGGAATTAATCAGCCTAGTCAGCAGCTAATGAACCTACACGATGAGATTCCCGGCCACAAAATCATAAATGCTTCTTACTCTATCTCCTCAGATGCTGCTGAGATCTAAATGTAGCAGCACGTATAGATGAAATTTTGAGTTGAACTAGAATACCAACAAAGAACTTAATTTTTCTGTGACGTACAATTAGAATCACTAATAAACCTACAGTACACCTCCCTCTCACAGCTAATGGGACAGTAGCGAGATGTTGCTATGGAATCAGCATAGTTGCAGCACAGACCATGGTCACTGGTGCCCAGCTAGTGACCAGCAATTCGTGTGGAAGTCAAAAACGCAGTGAGAGGCTGAGGGTTTATCTCAGTGGCAATGCACCTGCCTTGCAGATGCAAGGTCCTGAATCCAACGCCTGGTACAAAAAAATACTGCAGTAAGTTTGTTTTTTTTTTTTATTTACTACACTCAAAGCAGCATTGCCATTAGTCCTCATCAAAATCCTCCTCCTCTTCAGACTCACTGACCCCGTCACTCTTGCCACTTTCTGAAGCAGTCCTGAAAGTCTTCTTTCTTTGGTGTTTCTTGGAAGGTGTGATAAAAAATACAGCGAAGGCTGCCTCAGAGTGTCACCTGACCAAAGACAGGCTCCTAAAAATATTGGTGTGTCCTCACCCACCTTGGTCACCACATCTGACACCGCACGTGATCCGGCTCTTCCCCCAAGTCAAAATGATCGTGAAAGGTAAACACTGTCAATCCATTCAGGACACTGAGGCAGCCCTGTCAGGAAAACAGTGATGAAGAACAGTGATGCGAAGGTTTCCTTCAGTTGGGATCTTGTTGATTACTATTTGCTTGTGTGTCTTCTTATGGGCTAACAGAAAACTCAGTCTCAAAGGAGGTGTGGCGGAATACACTCACAAGCCCAGCACTCTTGGAGACTGAAGCAGGATTATAAATTCAACCCCAGTCTAGGCAACTTAGTAAAACCTTGTCTCAAAATAAGATAAAAGAAACTTTAAAGGTTTTAAGGGGCTGGGGCTGTAGCTCCATGCGAAGGCCCTGTGTTCACTTCCCAGTATGACTGAGAGGGGGTCAGACAAAGGAGAGGCACACCACCTACTCTAAGTAGACTGGGTTACTGTGGGATGAATAACATTGCCTCACAAAACAACTGAAATAATTTGTTTTTCAGAAACAAAACTTCCGTTGTTCATTTAGACCAAAAAAATCAACTAATTTGTATTGTTTGGAGTATTTTTAAGACATTGGATTTTCTAATTATGAGGTGTGCATATAATTGTTCTAAATCTTATATGGAAAAGAGAAGGAACTAAAATGGCTATAATCATTTTGAAAAAGAATATAGCAGAGAGAATCACTGGACCCAAGTTTAAGATATCATGTAGCTACAGCCATTGACATTGTGTGGTTATTAGCACAGGAACAGATATTAGGATCAGTGGAACAGAATAGAAAAATCAGAAATTAACCTACACCTGCATGAACAACTGACTTTTGTGTGTGTGTGTGAGAGTGTGTGTGTGTGTGTGTGTGTGCATGCGTGTGTGCTGAGAATCAAACTGAGGGTCTTGTGTATTCTAGGCAAGTGGTCTACCAATTGAGCTGCATCTCCAGCCCAACAATTAAAAATTTACAAAGGTGTAAAAGCAGTTCAATGAAGTGTAGTATTTTCAATGAATTGCAAGATAGAACTTAGCTATTATTCATAGGCAAAAAATGAAATTACATAAACCTTACATGTTACACAAGAATTAACTAAAAATGCAACATGGATTAATGTGTAAAATTTAAAATTTTAGAAAAATATTTGTCTCTGGACTTCAAATGAGTTTTTAAATATCAAAAGTAAACTGGGCATCGTCATTTTTTTTTTGTTTCATTTTGTTTTGTGTTTTGAGACAGGGTCTCACTGTGTAGTTCAGGCTGACCTTGAATTCACTATGTAGCCCAGGCTAACCTTGAACTCATAGGGATCCTCCTGCCTCAGCCTCCCAAAGTCTAGAATTACAAGTGTGCGCCACCCCCCTGGCTGACATCATCAAATTTAAAAACCATTTTTCTGTAAAAGAACCTGATAAGACACAATAAATAAAACAAGTTATGGGCTAGGGGAATATACTACAAATATGACAAAGGACTTGTATTTCAAGTATATAAAAAATAATCAAAACTCAAAGCTATAACATATCTTCAGTTAGAAAATGAGCAAAAGACATAAAGAGCTGTCTCACTAAAGAGGACTTGCAGATGGCAAGTGATCTTGTAAAAATATGTTCGGCATCATTAGTCTTTGGAGAAATGCAAATTAAAACCACAATGAAATACCAGAATAGAGAAAATGAGAAATTCTCCCTCCACAAGTTGCTACTGCAGGGCAGCCTCTCTGGAAAACAGTGTGGCAGTTTTATATAAATGTACACTTACCATATGACCTAGCAATCGTACTGTAGGGCCTTTATCCCAGGCAAATCAAAACTTATTTTCATACAGAAACCTAAACAGGACTGTTGCTAGCAACTTTGTTTGCAATGCTCAAATCTGGAAACTATCAAAATGCCCTGTATTAGATAAAGAGTTGAACAGTGCTACGGACATACTCTGTTCAGGGTTCAATCAGCAAACTATGGTACACATAGGAACAAAATAAGAATGCAATGCAGCATCTCCCCAAAAGCAGCCCCACACTGAGTAAAGAAATGCCAGCCTGAAAAGGCTTGCAAAGTGTTTGTGCCTCATTGATGTAATGTTCTCAAAATGACAAAATTGTGGAGATCGATGAAGCTGACGGGGTAGGGAGAGGGGGTGCGCTCCTCGGTGACAGCTGCTGCTCTGCGTCTGACCCCTGATCTGTGCAGCAGGCCCGTAGGAGCCCTGCATCACCTCGGCACCCTCCCCAGAGCTGCTGCAATGCACTTGCCTGGGAGGGACGCAAGCCGGGAGGCATTCCTGCTGTGGGACCCGTCACACACCTGAGGCTTGTGGGACGCCCACGTGGCTGAAGGAAAGGGAAGACCACAGTCTGTTTTGTTCTGTTTCAGTCCACCTTTTTTCTTAGTAAGTCTTCCTCCTATTTACCTTTCTTACTACTTTCTCTATGTCCTCCATCAAGGACATTTTTTTAAAGTCTTGGAACAAGAAATCGTACTAGTTCCGTGAATTCATGAGAATGCACAGCTATTTTGAATGACAGCTCCTCCAGCGTCGGATATGACAGCCTTCTTTACACAACACTTATTGTGAAATGCGCCCTTCACCTGACACCCTGTAGTGCAAAGCGTGGAGGCATCAATCATGGCTCCAAAAGCTCTCAGAGAAAAGTAGTCCAAGAACTCACTAACATGGAAATTACAGGCCAATTCACTTATATTTAGTTACACAAAAGCCTAAAAAAAATCAGCAAACAGGATCTAGCAGCTTTTTTTTTCTTCAGTACCAGGGACTGAACTCAGGACTTGGCACTTACCAGGCAGGTGCTGGCACCACTGAGCTAAATCCCTGGCCCTCTAGCAGCTTTTTAATAGACAGCGCACATGGATCAATGAGGATTATTCTAGAATACAAAGAGTCATTCTACAAACTTAATATTCGGAAACCTGTTAATATAAACACCATATTTGGAACTATAAATGTTCACTAACCGTGCTATCATTGCAATGTAAGTCTATAGTTTAAAACACGCACCAACCAGTATCCAGCATCTCTTTATCCAACAGAAGGTTTTTCACTGGTGATTTTGTTCAATAAAATACATGACAACTTTTGCTCTTGCCTACTTTGGGGAGGAATATAGTTGAAATAATTAGAAGATTCGAACATCAGTTAATCACACTAGTTCCCGGACACAACTGTAGCTAATTTTTCCATGCCCCAGCCATTCATATTTTTGGGTTTTGTGGTTTATTTTCAGGAATGGAAAACCCTTGTCCAAATGTACTTCCTCTTAATATGAATTCTTCACGAAAGCAAGAGACTGTGTGTATTTTTGGAACAGGGGATTTCGGAAGATCTCTGGGACTGAAGATGCTCCACTGTGGTTATTCTGTTGTTTTTGGAAGTCGAAACCCCCAGATGTCCAGCCAGATGCCCAATGGTGCAGAGGTCTTGAGCTACTCAGAAGCAGCCAGGAAGTCTGACATCATAATCATAGCAATCCACAGGGACCACTATAATTTTTTTATAGAACTAACTGAGGTTCTCCATGAGAAAATATTGGTTGATGTCAGCAACAACCTCAAAATCAATCAATATCCAGAATCTAATGCAGAGTACCTTGCTCAGTTGGTGCCAGGAGCCCATGTGGTAAAAGCGTTTAACACTATCTCAGCCTGGGCCCTCCAGTCAGGAGCGCTGGATGCAAGTCGACAGGTAAGATGAAATAAACTTCCATTCACTATTATGTAAAAGGTGACTCTTTTAATATGCACTTGCCCCAAAGATCCCAAAATAAAATGTCTAATAAGTATTTCATTTTTCTAACATGTGCCAAGAATAATTTTCTTGGGTTTTACCATGAAGGGTGGTCAACTGTTGTGATTCATTTCCAAGTATCTACACCCTCAGCTTTTAGTTCGATAGAACCAATGACCTTAATCTCTGGAAGCCTCTTTTCCATACTACAAGCTAATGCAGCTTGTTGGATATCCTTTTGCACTCCTGTTACCGTGTACAAAACTGGTTTAATTTATTCCCAGAGATTGGAAACAATCATGAGTGATGTTGGCACCCACACTTGCAGAAGTGAGTCTCATGTCAGTGTGATGTGCCTAAAACCACCCTTAATTTAACATCCTGGTCATCCACACAGTTCATTACTACATGGGATTCAGCATGGTGTTTATATATACTTTCAAAATAACTATTAAAGAACAAGTATCAATACAGAATTAATAAATTATTTTTCACCCAGGTGTTTGTCTGTGGAAATGACATCAAAGCCAAACAAAGAGTGATGGATATTGTCCGTACTCTTGGACTTACACCTTTGGATCAAGGATCTCTCGTGGCAGCCAAGGAGATTGAAAATTACCCCTTGCAACTATTCCCAATGTGGAGGTTCCCCTTTTATTTGTCTGCTGCACTTTGTATCTTCTTCTTCTTCTACTCCATTATAAGAGACATAATCTACCCTTACGTTAATAAAAAGGAAGATAATACATTTCGCTTGGCCATTTCCATTCCAAACCGTGTCTTCCCAATAACAGCACTCGTACTGCTTGCCTTGGTTTACCTCCCTGGTGTTCTCTCTGCCATCCTGCAACTTTACCGAGGTACCAAATATCGCCGATTCCCAGACTGGCTCGACCACTGGATGCTCTGCAGAAAGCAGCTTGGCTTAGTAGCCCTGGGGTTTGCCTTCCTGCACGTCATCTACACACTGGTGATTCCTATTCGGTATTACGTACGATGGAGGCTGAGAAACATAACCGCCACCCAGGTAAACCTCACTTCATTTATATCCTCCTACTCCCAAGCCCAAGATGAATGTTGCTATGTCGTGCATCATTTCACAATTATAGAAAATGACTCTTGTAAGAATCTTCATTTTTCACAGTAACTAGAATTAAAAACATCCCACCTGGAGTTTTTAATGAGTCCAGTTAAGATCGCATACAACTATTGAAGTACAAGTTGGGTTGCTAAGCTCATTTGGATCCAGATCTGTATCCCCAGGACTCACTGCAACACTGACAAAGTTTCAGGTTTGGGGCTTTGGAAACCTAATGACACTTACTTGAACTCCTTTGGGTGGCAGTCAATAAATACAAACCCAAGTTTTTTCAAGCCGCTCTTTTATGCATGGTTCTTATATTTCAAAGTCAAATCTGTATAGGCAGGCCTCTCAAATACACTGCAGCAGGGCAAACAAACTCACAAAAAGGTGCTTACAACACTCCTAATGCTCTTTTGTTTTGTTTTGTTTTTTGAGACAGGGTCTCACTATGTAGTTGAGACTGACCTGGAACTCACTGTGTAGCCCAGGCTGGTCTCGAACTCACAGTGATCCTCCTGCCTCAGCCTCCCGAGTGCCGGGATTAAAGATGTGAGCCACCACACCTGGCTCCTTAATGCTTTTTTGACTTGTACAAAATTGTCCTCAGTAACAAGAAAACTAAACAATTCTGAGCAAATATCAAATACTATGTTATGCATGTAATTAAAGACTCAGAATCTGCTTAGGAAATCTTACAGCCCCCCCACAGGAAGTACTCTAAGTCAATGCTAGTTTAGAATTACCTGATTTTGACCAATTCTGGTGCAATTTTAAAGGTTGCAATGTCAGTGATGAGTCAATAACTCATTGATACCTCTTTGGATTTCTCTACACTTTTTTCTCTAACAAATACATGAATATTCCTCAGAAAAGAGTCTACAACAAGGAACTTATTCCTCTAACTCTGTGGTATGAAAGACTCCCTCTTATACTATGACATAATCAAGGTGATTCAAACTCTGTGTGTGACTAGTTAGCATATACAGCAAATATGATGTATTATAGAATTATAGAGTTCTGGTATATTGAAAGCATAAAGTTTTGTTTGGGGAACAAAAGAAGCCATTTGGTAAACAAGGTGTATGTTTACTTTATTTTAGGATTTGTAAGGTAAATTAAAACTCCCTACACAACTTCTAGAGTCAAGAATTATAATGAAATACCAGCAGAACATACTGTTGTCTACCAAAAATATTTCTAAGTGTATTTCTTTTTAATTGAGCAATAAGAAATGCTATACAATTTGCTTTGGGCAAATAAGCCATGTTTCAGTTCCCTTAAAGTATGGGCAATTTATAAAAAAATGTGTATTTAAAAACTGCTTACAATTTTTCTTAGGTAATAGACAAGAAAGATGATCCCTTTATCACCTCCACAGCCTGGCTCAGTGATTCATATGTGTCTTTGGGAATCCTCGGATTTTTTCTGTTTTTACTCCTGGGAATCACTTCTTTGCCATCTGTCAGCAACATGGTCAACTGGAGAGAGTTCCGATTTGTGCAGGTAAAGATTTGAAGTTTTAAATTTAGTATCACAATATAAGCCTGGCTTTACAAACATTCCCACTCATCTCTAGTACCAGGCCTAATTTTTCACATTGTTCCATCAATTCTGTAGCAATCTTATTAAACTCTCACATCCAAAAACTCTGAACTCTGTCACGTACAGAAACAGTGGCTTGGTTTGCTCACGGGGACACCTTGCCATGATTTCCAACTGCTCCCCGAGCCACAGCTAAGACTCCACAATGAAAAATGCCAAGAACTATTAAACTGTGTGTTTGGAGATGCACTAGGCACAAGCTGAAAAGAAACTCAGAGACAAAGTTAAAGTTACAATATGAACATATTAATAAAGAAAGGTAGACCTTGAAAAAACAAAGTTAAAACCTTCAAGCAAAGCTTGATAGATACAGTCACTTCAGATGTATTGCTGCTTTGTAAGAAGGAAAATTATTTTCTCCCACAGGTCAATCAGTAGGTACTTCATTCAAGCCAGTTAGCAGTTACTCCTGTGGACCAGTGATTCTCAAAGTATGGCATCAACAGTATCAGCTTCTGGGTCACCTGGGGACTTGTTAGACCCACAGAGCCCCAGGCCACACTCAGACTGGCTGAATCACAGGCTCTGGAGGCAATTTGTTTTAACAACCCCTCCAGATGATTCTGAGGCACAACCATTCTGAATCAGTGCAATAAAATAAACCATTAGTCACTGAAATTATATTTGGATGTCGAAGTTTGCAGTTGCTGCCAAATGCAAACAAAGACCAAATGCAAGCAAAGTTTTTTCATGATAACACCTTCACTTGAGGCATTTAGACAAAAGCAAACATTGAGCTTTAGAATTTAGAGAAACACACCCCAACCCACCACCCCCACTCCGCAGAAAAAATAATGCCAAGTAAAGTGTGGTAATTGCTCTTTACGCAATAGCTAGTATCTGGTTTTGGTCACTTACATCATAATGGAGAGTTTGAAGGCATAGTCATCTCTGACCCCCAGAAAAGGTGATAAATAAAAGAGTTTACCGATGGCAATCAAGGGAAAGTTATAATATTTATTCTAATTCACAAAACTTTATCCTAGGAAAGTTTTCCTTGCAGCCAGATTAAAATGAAGCCATTTTTAAGCAACACTCTTTTTTTTTTTAATGAAATAGCTACCATCCTAAAAAATTAATCACTTATCAAAGCACCCTTAATATTACAGATTTCAAATGTTTATGACTGTTAACAAATAAACTTCATTGGTTTATAGTGTTTTGCTTTAAATAGAAATAATGTCAATATGCTTTTTGTGTGTGTTTCTGTTTGCTTGTTTACAGTCAAAACTGGGTTATCTGACCCTCATTCTGTGCACAGCCCACACCCTGGTGTATGGTGGAAAGAGATTCCTCAGCCCTGCAGCTCTGAGATGGTATCTCCCTTCAGCCTATATCTTAGCCCTCATCATTCCCTGCACAGTGCTGGTGATCAAGTTTATACTCATCATGCCATGCATAGACAAGACCCTCACTCGGATCCGCCAGGGATGGGAAAGAAACTCAAAATACTCGAAATCAGCACTGTTCAGAAAATCAGATGTTTCAAGCAAAGCTGAATGTACCTGGGCTTCTGAACTGTAGTATTAAATGTTTAGAGAAAAGAAATGGGCACAATTAAGAAAGCTTTATTTCCCCCATCACTTGAAGCTTGCCGACCCAGAAGGAAATTTTTCCCGACTTTGAGAAACTAACAGATTCCCTTTTATCTAGGGTTAATGGTGAATCTGTGCAGGCCTTACTGCTTCTTTTCCTGGAGGCAGTGGAGCTACACGTAGGATGGAGATTAGCTTTGTGGCTTTACTCAAAGAAGGTTCTTTGTTATGGGCAGCCACCATGACCTAATGTCTTGCAAAATCCAGGAAAGGTACATGCAAATTCCTGCTCTGATTCAAGGGCTAAGTTAGAGATAGAAAACAACAGCCTGATAGTGGCCATTAGTGCAGGCCTTGCTAAATATGTATGAAACAAAAGACACAAATTGCCACAGTGATTTTTATTGTTGGTGCTGAGGTCAAACCCAGGCCTTTGCTCATACTAGTTGGGTGCTCTGCCCAACCACCTATATCCTGAGCCCTGCGATAGTGAATTCCATAGTTAAATATATCCCTTGGTTTGGCTTTTACCAGTACAGGTATCTGCTCCGGGGAACCATCTTAGGACACAACAAAAATAGCACAACTGACTGGAAGTGACCACACCTTGGATATATGCAAATCTGCATAACTTTACAATCCTTCCTCTATAGGAAACAGGTGTGAAAGAGATTAAGTAAAACTGGAAAGGATAATCCATTTGAGTTTTTCTTGATGTGCAGTAAACAAGGAAGGGCTGATAACAGCCTGTGCACACAAAGTTCAAATAAACCAGAACTTTAGTTAGCAAGCTAAATAAGTATTATCAAACTTTACTATATTAGTTTTGGTATCAGCTAGCTATTATGCAATGCTTTATAAATTATATTTTCTAGATATTATTCAAAAGTAGACATCTATGAAATTAATGTCTAGTACAAGGATATATCTTTAGTCTGTCTTAGTCTGATAATTTTAAGCAGTAAAAAATTCTGAAAATGTAAATTTAACCAAGGTATAGATGAGAGACAACTATGAACAGTCACAGGGCAGAGAAGTGCGAAGGACAGTTGTTAGGAGACTTGGTTTATTGCCAAATCCTAGCTGGAATGTTGGGTGGTTCCCACTGTTTTTCCGTGCTGACAGTGCCCTTTCCAAGGTGACCTTCAGCAGGATTAGCTGTCAGAGCTCACAGATGGTGCTAAAGAGACTTTATACAATCTTCTCACATATCACCTAGGTAACTAAGAGGCACGGAGTTTAACACTTTTCTACTAAATCTACAAAGACCATTTATTTTTCTCTCTCTTTTTTTAAACTTTTATTATTACATATTATACATGACATTATACAGAGAGATTAAAATATGCTAGGACATCACCCACAATCCAGGATATTTTTCCATAAAACTTAAAAATTGTTCTATTAATATTATATATTCAATTTTACTTTCTTCTTCGTTTATTCAACGCTTCATTGCCTTACATGGCCTAGATATTTATTTAATGGCTACCTAATTTTACAGCAAATAGAGTTTTTTTGAACCACTGCCCTCACTGAATGTATATATCTGTTATACTAAACAAAAAACAATTCAGAGAATGTCGTCTACCTATAATATTTTTTCCATAGTATCAATTATCTCCTTAGAATGCTTGCCAAGAATGGTGATTATAAAATTAGAGACTGTTTTCTAGTGTTTGATAGGTACTGCCAACTTAATTATAAAGTGTTCTTATCAAATCATTAACATTAGATGGCACTAGTTTCATCAAACCATTTTAGGTTTGGGTTTTATTTTAATTTGTTTTCTTAATAATAGTTGCAAAGGTCCACAGAGCACAAGATCCTGTATTCTTGATCAACCCAAGCAAGGATACAAAAGGCTAGAAGAGTTTGAGCATGTGTGGTATACGGGGCTCCCCCTAGAGCGCAGGTGAGAATACAAACATGTCACCACTCGACCATGTGATGCACACAGCCACTCGCGGCATGGCTGGCTGGAGGGAGAGCAGCGTGAAGCTCGTGTACTACCCAGACTGCCCTACGGAAGCCTTTGGAGTTAACTGTGCTCCCACTGCAGTGCCAGTCATAGTCCATCACTAACAATAGAAAATGCTGCAAGTAGGGGAAACACTTATCCATAGTAAAAAATGACAAAGAAACCCTACTTGCTCCATCCAAGTACTTCATAGAAGTCATCCATCAAACCTAAGTTAAAGAACAGCCCTTAGGTTTGGGCAAAAGGGCTACAATGCCTGACCTCTGGCCCGGCCACAAGGGCACCAAGCCCCACCTCCTGATCAGAGACAGCCAACTTCTTTCTTCCTTTCCTCCCCTCATTCCTCCTGCCACTTTGGAGGAGGCCACTAGCAGATGTGTCAAAGCCCTGGTGCCTGAGAGTGCTTGAGGGCACCTGACGACACAAGTCTATTTAGCGCAGGTGCACAATGCAGATCGCTGTAATAATGATGAACCAGCATGGACGACCACACACATACCACGTGGCCTGCAAGGTCTCACAGGGTGTTTTGTTTTAGCTAAACTGGTAAAGAACTACTATAAGTTCTGTACTGGAAATTAAATTTGGTTCCTGCTTTTGTGATGTCTGCTCCACGCATGTTCTTTTCTCTGGGAACCTTGCCTGACCGGGCCTCCCTTCAGCCCACCAGCCCAGACACATTTAAAGCCAACAAACAACTGACCACCTCAACACAGCTTCCTTCTGCAGTTTACCTAGGCAGAGAACAAGTTAGGGCAGGTGGAAATAGGTGCTCCCGGTGCACTGTACCCCTCTTAGCACATCTAAACTATTCTACATTTTAGACTCTAGCCTGAACTTCTTTATTGCTGGTACGGTTCCTGTATTCTATGAAAGTTCTGTATATTCATAGACCATTTGTTTTGTATTCTTTCCCCATGTTGAGAAAAGATGAACTTTTGTAAATGTGTATTCATTAAACATTACTTCTGAAATCTTTTCTAGTTTTGCTCAATTTTGGTTTTGATTCACCACATTTTGAAGAAAGTGATGGAAAGATTTGGCATCCCAGTGGTTCCAGTGTCTAGGACTGAAAGAACCTCCCTTTGGAATAAGGAAAATCAGAGGCACTGCATGGGTTGGCAGCTGTGTGTAATACATGCCCGCCCCCAGGATGCACTGCGGTATCCCATGCACTGTGGTATCGCCTGAGGTGGGGTGGGGGATCAGCTAGCTAAATGGCAGGGGGAGCCCACCCTGGACTTCTAACAGAATTAGAGAAAGATTGCTTTACAAGCAGACACCATCAGGACAGAGCTAATGGTTTTCTTTTGTTTTGTTTTTAGCAGTAGAGAAAAGTTCATTAACAACAGAATGATAATCTAGTAGGTAACATGGGATTAGTAGGAGAATTAGCAAACCGATTATGACAAAGGAAATAGTACACTTAGAAATAAGGGAGCTGAATCACTACCTTCGCCTCATTCAACTGCAATTTATTTTTTAACTTTTTGTGTGTTTTTCTATTTTACTGGCACCTACTAGATATATATAATGATAACATTCATCATAGGGAATTTGTATCTGTACGTGACGTAGCTTGCTTCTTTTTTTCCCATAGTCCTCTCCCCTCTTCAACCCCGCTTCCTCTCCTTTTTTAAACAGCTTTGGAAAATGTTCAAGTGAGAAGGGGAACATGGAAGAGGAAGGGGGAAGGAAAGAAGGGACAAGGAGAAAACATGGAAACAAAGGGCTAACGGTTCGACAAGCCGAATTCAGGCTGAACTCAGACTGCAAGACCTGACACTGAACACTGCACAAATAGCTGCATCCTCAGTGGGCATTATTATGCTTTCAAAAATAAAATAAAACTGATAAAGACAGGACCGGCAACCTCGATAGAAATAAATGGAAAAGCCCATACCCAAAACTTTACTCAAGAGCTCTTCATACATTGATTGTTCCGCTACCACAAAACAGCCAGGCACAGTGATGAAATACGTGTGATGCATTTCACCTCTAGAGACTCAAAATATTCTAGAACTCCTCCCAAATCATGGTGTGATAACAGCCAAGGTGCCACATGCAGAGGTCGCAGGTCTCCCTTTCCATCACTAGTCCATCATTAGTCTCAGCCCCTGGTCAACACTCGCCTCTCAGGAATCCACAAATACCCTTATAGGATCCTTTCCCAGTTTTCTGCGGTCACAATCTAGAAAAGTCCTCCATTCGAAAGATTTGCTTAGTAGAATTTAGGAAAAGAAATAATTTATTACCTTACCTTAAGCTCAAGGCCAACCCCTCCTCTCTCAGATAAGACTCAAATGGGAGAGAAGAGAGGCTCGATGGTAAAGACATAGGTCAGAGAGAAGATAAAGAACAGCAGGATAGTGTACTTGGCCCTGGCTCTATTCTAACCAAGACTGAAAATGTCCCGTAGGCCACGCTTCCTGCTACAGGGGTAACTTGGAAGGCTCTTCATGATGTTTTTCACATACTATTCTGAGCTTTAAAAAGCCTGTGCCGACATGATGTGTATTATCTAGTCCTCATAACAATTCTCTACGGTACCATCACCTGGATCCCCCATAGCTGCAGTGAGGACCTCAACCCCTCCACACACAACATCACCGCAGAGCAGGTTCATTGCCTCTCATCACAGAAAAGGAATTACAGGACATGTCGGTGAGAAGCAAGTCAGATTTGTCAGGTAAAGTGGAAAGAGAACATATTTAGAGAGAAAACAGAATGGGGGTGCTGAAGAGAGAAGCATTACGGTGTGGGGTTGGGGTTATGTATGTGAGCTTGGAGTATCTTTTAAGATAGGTGATCTAAGAAGTTCTGCTAAGAACATTCTTTAAATCTTTTGAACAGTTTCACCTTAAAGTCTGATTGCTGCCCTTCACTTTATCAATGTGATTAATTCATGGACTTCTCCTTAAGGAATTTGAGTGTGATGCACCTGCAGAAAAAATCAAAGCTATGGAATAAAACACAAGCCTAGGGAATAAAGGCATGCAGTAAAGATATGGATGACCTCGTATAACTTTGGCCAAGACTTAGAACCATACTTTCCTCATCTTCTTCCTACTTACCTTTGTTTCTCTTATCCTGCTTCAGTACTTTTATTATCCTTATCTTTCAGAAGACACTGAACCTTAAATATTTAGTTCCGGGCCTAATGTCACACCACTAGAGTTCCAGGGCCATCCCAGATCAACCCAATACCAAAGTGTCTTCCAAAATTTCCCCTTTAATCCATGAATTAGGCTAGGTTTGATCAAACCGCAATATTCTGAAATATTTTCTAAGCACAAAGCTCATTAGCATGTTAAATGGTCACCCTGTTCTCAGCACTGAGTTTGCTCGTGTTGATTTCAGTACCTTCGGAGTCCTGCCTTGAATGCAGCCCATCACAACTCCCATTCCAGTCCTCCCTGTAGTCTGATTACCAGCTCTCTGCAGCTCCAAAGAAAGCTTTGTGCAAATGAAAGGAGGCAAAGTCCCCTGATACCCGAAAGTTCAGTCAAGGAGGGTACAGCTCCTCTCCCTGAGCCAAAAGACAAATGTTTGCTTTGCTCTGGCTTCCATTTAATGCTTTCTGTACTTAGTGAATGAACCTATTTGTCCTTATGACTCATGGAAGAAATTCTGCAACACTTTTCACATATTTCTTTAATGCTTGTTGAGGAATCTTAGTGTGAAAAAAAAATGCTAAGTCCCATTACCCATAACCTATAGCCGCCAGTCTCTTAGTTTTGTAAATCTGAAGGGCTGTCAGACTGAAACTGATAGAGAGTGCAACAAAACTATTAGAATATGATCAGCTGGTGTGATAATAGCCAACCTGACTCCATTTGTGTAAAGTCGGGTGATTACAGGTGCTGGGCTTCTGCTTCCTCCCCCACTTGGGAGTCTCCTCAATTAACAGATGACAATTACATAACAGTCCACCACATCCTGTGCGAGTCTGTAGCTATATGTCATCTGTGTGACCTTTTGGTGGAGAAGTCTGCAGCTATGTTATCTCTACTACCTTGTGAACAGAAGACTCCGCACCTGTGTGATACTTTGTTTTAACTCAACTGTGTGAAACTGCCCTGACCCCCACCAGCTTAGCAAAATTCTGCTCCCGTGAAATTCCACTTGTGCTCCTCCCACCAGCTCTCCCCAAAGAGAAGAGCTCGAAAAAGGACCCTGAAAACTGCCTTTACTTTGTCCAGGGTTTTTGGAGACCTGAGCCACTCTGGAATGCCAGTTATGATAATAAAAGACTCCACTGAATTCAGAGTGTGGTACATCTCTGTAGTTCCAACTTGCCTGGTCCTATAACACTGGAATCAAAGTTTCTCCATGAGTTTGAGAGTCAAAGAGGTTTTTAAAGAGTACAGTCAGTGTATTCATCTCAAATCCTTCCTTTCATGCTGAAAAAATATAGATGAAAAAGAATGACAGAATTTCTATTCTTGTTTTATTAGAGTGGAGTACTAGAATCTGTGAAAGTGAGGCTCTCTCCCACCAACACAAGGGTCATCAATACAGTCCCTTCCCACCAGCAGAGCAGCCTAACCTCTCCTCATGACAGAGTGTTGACAGCCACCAGGAGAAAAATCTCTGCCATTTTGGGGCAATCTGGGCAATTATTAGTAAGTTCTCTCTTGCATCCAACCAGTTTTTCTGGTTGTACTTGTAAGGTCAGACTGAGGCACAATTCCACCAAGGAAGACAAAATCTAAGCAACATGGGATAAGCTTATTGCAGTCTGGGTGCAGACAGGCCAAGGGCAAGAAGATCACAGAGAAGAGGGTGTGTGCCGTTGATATGGGAGAGTTTAGGTAGGGGAGGCGCACTGGTGGAGAGGGTGGAAAATTTTTAGAATCCCATGGGTGACGGACCTGGTGCTGGCTGATAAACAAGGTGGTGGTAGGAACAGCAGGGTGGCAGTTTTCCATGGAATGAGATTTCTTGTAGATAAATGGAGCAGCTGCTCTCACTTCCTGTTATCTCTGTCCCCATATTGATTCGGACAGCAGGTCTGTGTAGGCAGAGGTCTGACTCAGGAGACATGTAACCCTTGCACGTTGTGTTATAAAAAAGATGAACAAAAGAGGGAAGGGGGTGTAGATCCTCGTGACTTCTTCAAACATGACTGGGAACAGCATGGGCATCCTGTAGGGAGGGACAGATGAGGAAAAAGAGGGGAGGGAAAAGGGAGTTCAGTCTTGGAAAGAGGCAGCGGAGATGTCAGGAGCATGATGAGCTCTGGCCCTTCTCAGGGGTCAGCTGGAGGCTCTCATGGGACAGCTGTGTCGGGGGCAGTCAGGAGGAGCTGCCTGGATGTTATGGACCAGATCTATTCGTGGATAAAATCTATCAAAACCT